CCCAAAACCCTTTCCTCTCCACCGACCTTCCCTCTCCACCCTCCTCAAAATCCTGCGCCCTCTTCCAAACCATCCTTCGCAGATATTCTCAAGGGCTCCAGATCAGACCCAACCCCCACAGTTCCTCCAACCACCTCAAAAGGCCTTCTCCCCACACCAGAACAAGGTTGGACCACAGTCACCTACAGGAAAAGACTCATAAGGCCCAGATCTGTAGCCTCCTCATTCAAGCCCCACCTTGTCCCTAAACCCCAAAGGTGCTATCTTTGTGGTAACGCTAGTCACATGGCTAAGAACTGCTCCCTCGGAGGTTTCAAATGTTTTGCTTGCAATCTTGTGGGTCATACTTCAGCTTGTTGTCCCAACAAAAAGCAACCCCCTTTGCTTAGCATCCCCCCTTCTATCATACCCTCTTCCCCACCTCTCCTCTTTCTCCCAAAGATCTCTCTTCCCCCCTCAGTTATCTCCAGCCTGGAGGAGTTTGTGAGCTACGCTCACTTCCAGATCCAAGTCGGCAACCCTTCTTACGCCGACTTGGTCGAGAGTCTTGAGAAACATTTCAAGGTAGAGAAATGGTCACAAGTGATCAGGCAATCGGCGGCGGATTCCTATTTTATCCAGTTTCCTAACGCGGAGATCCGAGACCTAGCTTGCTCTAAACCATTCATCAACATGGGAAACTTTGGGGGAGTCTTCACCCCATGGTCAGAAGCTTCAGGTCTTAAAAGTCCTACCAAAGTTTTACTATGTCTGGGTTGAGCTCCTTCATCTTCCTATCCATCTGTGGGACACGGAGTTTATCACAAATATCCTTGTTGACATTGGAGACGTTATTGCTTTCTCTGACGATGTTTTGCTCAAAAAAGAAGCAAGGGCCTGCAAAGCTATGTTGCATGTTAGGGATCCATCTGAAATCCCTCAGGAAGTCATCTTTCGTTACGATTCTCCAAATGAAGTTCACATTATGGAAGGTGTAGTCAAGCTGAAGGTGGTGGGGGACCCTCTTCCCGCGGAGCAAGGCAAAGACCGAGTCCTTTTTGAAGTTTTTGTCCGCAGGGAGGGGGCACCTCCCATTGCCCCTAGGCCTCCTTCCCCAGCGGGGATTCTGCAGTCATCCCCTCCAGAACCCCCTAAGCAGTCAGATCCAAAAGGCAAAAGGCCTATGCTCGAGACAGGAGTTCCGCATCCCTCCCCCCCCTTAGAAGTAGCTGCAGAGGCCCCCTCAGAGATGATTGCAGTCTCTATTAAAGGGATCACAATCAATATCCCTAGAGACTCTTGGGCCATCCTCAGAGCTGCCTTCCCAAACCTTGAAGAATCCTCTACCCTTCCAACCAAAGCAGACCGAACCATCCAGATCAGTCTATCAGACTCGACAGATCTAGCTTCAACCTCTGACCCTCCTCCGGGATTTGAGAAAGTATCCTGCAAAGCTAAGAGGGGCAAGAAGTCAGCCACCAGTAGCCGTAATATGACTATGCCCTTCAAGAAGCACCTAGCCAAGATGAAGAAGGGTAAGAAATCAGGTATATCTAAACCCTCATCTTCTTCCTCTGTCTCCACTCCCCCAGTTCACTCTAGTGTGTTGGAGAGATTAGAGGAAATCTCTGTTAATTGTGGTATCCAAGAACCGATAGATCCCCAAGGGCTGCTTGACATCCATAATATGATGTCTGATGAAGCCATCTCTCTTTGAGTCCCCCCCCTCCTCCCAAGTTGTTTTTTGTCAGTTCTCATGCGTATCGGAGTAAATCTCGTCGGTTTGCAAGAATCTAAATTGTCTTCCCCTAGCCCTCATCTTCTCAAATCCCTGGGGGGTAGAAACATTTCTTCTTGGATATCTCTTGATGCCAATGACTCCAGGGGGGGTGTTTTATTGGGCTGGGATGACGACCTCTTCTCCTGCTCATCATCATCAATAGATATCTTCTCCGTCTCGGCTACTCTCACCCATAGACCATCCAATTGGAGTTTTGTAGCTACATCCATCTATGCCCCATGCGATTCCTCAGAGAGGGAGGTTTGCTGGTGGGAAATAGAAAAAATTAGAGGTTCCCACTCTCTTCCATGGGTGGTCTTTGGAGATTTTAACATGACTCTTAGTACAGAAGAAAGAAGTGGTCGTTCTAGCTCCCTCCGAGACATTAAAGTTTTCCAACAACTCATTGATTCGGTTCAGCTCTCAGACCTTCCTCTCAGTGGGAGAATGTTCACCTGGTCTAACCATAGATCCCCCCTTCCTTAGCCAGGCTGGACAGGTTCTTAGTCTCCTTGGATTTTGACTCCAAATTCCCCCAAATGGTCCAGTTCGCCTATCCACCTTCGTGTTCAGATCACTGTCCCATAGTCTTGGACACAGTTTCCTCTTCCCTCCCCTCTCCTCTCTTCAGATTTGAAAAAATGTGGCTTACACTTCCATCCTTCCCATCCTTCATAGAATCCAGTTGGCAATCTTTTTCTTTGAAACAGGGTCATAATATCCCCCTCCTTTTTAAACTCAAACTTATAAAACGAAGAATTAAATGGTGGAGGAGAAACTGCTTTGGTTCTCTATCTCAGTCAGTCTCAAATCTCTCATATCAAATTCACTCTCTCAACATTAGGGAATAATCTAGAAGTCTATCCCTGCATGAGTCTCAGCTTAGATCTGCTTTGAAAGACCAACTTCTTTCCCTCGCCAAAGCTGAGGAAATTAAATGGAAACAGAGATCC